ATATGTATATATATGTATGCGTATGTGTATATGTATGTGTATGTATATGTACGTATGTATGTATGAATATATGCATGGGGGCATGTGTATGCGTGTATATGTATGTGAAAAGTGTGTGTATATGAATATAGATGAATATGTGTATGTGTGGATATGTGAATATATTTTTATATTTTAGGTTTTATATATATATATATATATATATATATATATATATATATATATATATGTGTGTGTGTACACGTATGTCTGTGTGTGTGTGTGTGTGTGTGTGTGTGTGTGTGTGTGTGTGTGTGTGTGTGTGTGTGTGTGAGTACATGCCTAAGTGTATGTACATACTTTGTATATTTTTTTTGTGTGTATTAGTATGTGTTTTGAACATAGAAATATTTGGTCCTTGCTAAATTAGACAATCGTTATATTCATCTTCATATATTTATATTTGATTTCTAACCTGTATTAATTTGTCAAATTTTCTCAATTACAAAGCGGCCCTTTAAGTAAACACAATTTTATTTTCCTTCGTCCCATCTCCTCTCCCACACCTCTTCTCTTTCTTTTTCCCCCCTACCTCCTATCCTAACTTCTAATTGTCTATGGTGTGTATATGTCACCACGAAATGTATCTTTATGCATTAGACATCCGTCGACTTTCTTTCTCTCCTCTTTTTAAATTCCCCCCCACATCTCCTAAAATTCTCTCTGTTAAGGTTTCATCTCCTCCTCCTCATACTTACACTTTCTCTAAATTCTGTTTTTGATTTCCGGAGTTGGTTTTTCTGTTTTCATTTTTTTGAATTTGTAGGTCTGATGATTTGGATCGTATTTACGATTCCAATGGAATAAATTATGACCATGGAATATTAGTGTTTAAGCCTTTTTTATTATATCCTTACTCTGTCCTAGACATTGAGTTCTACCTGGATTCTTCCTCTTGGAAATTTTTTTTGAAAATATACATGTATGGGTATTTTTTTATATATATATTTTTGCATATGTATATATATTTTCCACTAATATTATCTATCTATCTATCTATCTATATATATATATATATATATATATATATATATATATATAAATGTAGATCATATATGTAGGAAATGTGTCCCAATGTAGCATGTTATTAAGGGTTCATCAAAGATCGAAATAGAAATCAAAAAGGCAAAGAGACAGAATACTGTTATGTTATGATTTTTGGTTCAGATAAGTGTCACGTGTATTAACGCAACAGATATATAAATATGTGTGAGGAACATTTTGAACGTTTAAATGTGTGATAGTGTAAGAGTGTGTAAGTCAAGAAGCGTTTGCGTATCTAGGTATATATAATACGTATACATATACATATACATATATATATATATATATATATATATATATATATATATATATATAGAGAGGGAGAAGATGAGAGGTGTGGTGAGGAGAGAGAGTGGTGGAGCAATATCTCCGTAGCCTGAAAAGAATGAGAAAAGTTTAATGTATATATTATAACTATATATATATATATATATATATATATATATATATATATATATAGTTTCATTGAAAACGGCTAGAAATGAGGATTTTCTGTATGCTGTAGTTCACTTTCCTGTTGCCTGCCGGTTTATGTAATTTAATATATTGTGTTTGGGCAGCAAACCCTCCTTTATACATGTTTCGTTAAAAACGACTGAAAACAAAGTTTATTTTTCTCTAAATGGCCTAGTGTTACTTGTACAAGGTGAAAGCTTACTGTAAAAAATAACTTTCAACATCTTTAAGGGTAAGTGTCATCTTTGACAGAATTGGCATCGAGAGCACTACTGCAGGTCCGCTCGGAAAAAAGAGGGGGACCTTTTGAGGAGATTTTTGTAGATAAGCGTTCATTAGACCTTCGTCAACGAGCGATATTTTCAGAATTGCAAAATATTGATTTTTTTTTTTTTTATCCAATTAGAATTGAAGGTTCTTTTCGTGATATCGATAGAGAGTATCTGGGCTTAACTGTCGTACGTACGCAAACTAACTATTTATTTTTAACAAAGATTTATTTGAAATAAAGAACGAACGCATATCTACATTTTTAATTAAAAAAACAAAGATTTACATAAGAAAACTATATCTCGGTTTATACTTCATTTAAGATAATTATTCTTTCATAAAAAATCTGTGCATGCGCTTTCAAAAAAAAATGACCTAATGGAAATAGTTTAACGGTTTAAAAAGAAATATATGAAAAATATGTAGATATCAATTATGTAAGTATGTGTAAATAACAACTAATTCCATTAACTCTGTAAAAAGTCAGAGATCGGTTTTACAATGTATTGATATTATGAACATGACCCCCATTTCTAAATAAATGAAAAACAATATTATTTTGATTCTGATACAACAGTGTGACGACCAATATACTCAACATTAGAGTCTGTCTGATAAGCGTATAGCGAGCACATGCATAACAGCCAAATATATCCAATATGGTGATAGGTTTTGATTAAAAAAAATGCAGAACAGGAGACATCAGTTAAAAATATCACCAGGTCGTGTAAACCAGTCTTTTCCGACGGTCTCCGACAGACAATTTTCTGGATATAAATTAAAATCAGAATCATGGGGAATCATATATATATATATATATATATATATATATATATATATATATATATATATATATATATATATATATATATATATATATTTATATATATATATATATATATATATATATATATATATAACAGCCAGACTAACCGAACATCTCATTTGCTGATAAATGGTATAAGTCTTGAACAGAGCCAGGCCCACCATTTCCGAATAGCCGAAAACGGAGACATTGTGCACAATATGCCACAAATCCCCAAACGACCCTACGCTGGTTTTGAGTCTTTTCTTGAAACCAGCTATTTGACCCATAGCTGGAGGGAGATGAAATGGATGGTATACCTTTCCCAAGGGTATCAGCACTTAAGTGAATGTAATGAATTCGACTGGAATTCGGACTCGGCTCTCCGATTCCACAATTCAAGCCGCTATCCATTATGTCTGTCTGTCTGTATGTATGTATGTATGTATATGAAT